TGTGTGTGTGTGTGTGTGTGTGTGTGTTGTTAAATCATATCATATTATCATTAAGAATTTATCTTTCATAAGAATTTACATGTCATTTTTTACTTTATATAATCTCATTTGTAAAACAAAAAATTTTTACTACAAAATGGAACTCAAAAAGCACTTCAAATTTGAAGAAGTTTTTTCTTTAATTTAGAAAAAAGAAAACAAAAGAAAAGAATTGATGAAAATTTCTTGTTTAAATAGATAAAATTCGTAAGTATTAGATAAAAAAATTTTGGCTTTAAGTGAGATAGGCAAGAAAAAAAAGCATGAAAATTGAATTATTGAAACTGAAACTGAAAATTTAGGTGAGACATATAGTGGTGCAACAAAATGCTCATGGGAAATTTTTAACCGATGCTAATGCGAGTTTTGATTGTGTTCCGGATCTTATACGGTTCTATTTAAACTACGGTGAACCAATCCTCAGTACGGTAGGCTCATTTATTGTTTGCATTGCATCAAAATAGCTTTTTTATCTGATTGAGTTGAAAGATTTGTTTCAAAATTAATTTAAATTGTCCAATATCATTATTATTGTATTTTGTATCCTTCTCTTAAATTGGAATTATTACAACTCAACTGGAACTTAATTCTTATCTAAAATGAATCTTTGAAAATTTCAAATCATTAAGTGGTATTTTTTTAAATCTCCTCAAAGTTCGAATTATAAATTTAAAGAAATGTTTGTAGTACGCTTGGATAAGCTCGGGAATTGTTGTTTAAATAAGGCTGCAAATTATTTGATGAACAAATTTTGAAAGGAATAAGCATGTTTGGGCAATTTAGAGATAACACTTTGACAGATATAAAGTCAGTATCAAGTTTGATTGATGATAAATTCCAATGAGCTAAATGTCTTCCATTATTTCACTTAAAACCAATATATCATTAATGGAAAAATAAAATGCAAATTTTGAATTGCATGGCTATATTCATAAATTTGTCTTAAGTATCTTTTTATAATAGTAGCAATCCAAATTTACAATATCTCATCATTACTGAGTAAAAGTATTTTGTTAAAATTACTAAAGAAAGAATTATAATTCATTTCATATCATTTTTAGCTAAAACTGATCAATTTTTTGACCCATATTTGAACTCATATTAAGATTTCATTAGATACCAAATGCAATTTTAAAACGTGCAATAACTCGAGCACCATGGGAGTTACGGCATGAAACTGTTATAATCGGAAATAAAATTGGTGAAGGTGAATTTGGTGAAGTATTTTCTGGTAAATACAGACTTCCAACAGGAAGAATGATTGAAGTGGCAATTAAAGCGGTTTGATTATCAATTTAATCATTAAAATTTCCTAGACAACTTGATAGAAATAAATATTTAGTTTTTCATTAGAGATATTTTATATTTTTAGTAAATAAAATATAAATGTTAAATATAATTTTCAGGCTAAAACAGCAGAAACAACAAAGGAAAAAATAAAGGAAATGATGAAGGAAGCACGTCTGATGCGTAATTATGAGCATCCAAACGTCATTCGTATGTATGGCGTATGCGTCGAACATGAACCATTACTTATCGTTATGGAATTGGTAAGCGCGTTTTTCGTTACGTTTCGTTATATACGTTTACATATACGTATAGTCTATGTAAAGTTTTATTTTTAATTATTACGTGCTTTTTTTTTCAATTTTTTGATGAAATACTTTATGAAATTACATTATATATGTGCTAAATCAATTTTAAATTGATATATTTTAACATAAAAGTACTGAAATAAATTATTTTTGATTGATTTATTTTACTTCCTAACATTTAGAATTCATTTAATTCATTTATACAATTAGTTGATAGTTTTAGAATTACAGGTAGATGGTGGAGCATTGGATGATTTTCTCAAGAAAAATCGAGTTTCAGTAAAGGATAAAACCGAAAGATTAGTTGCTGGTGGTGCTTGGGGATTGGAATATTTGCATTCAAAAAATTGTATTCATCGTGATATTGCTGCCAGAAATTGTTTACTTACACGTACTGGCGTAGTTAGTTCATTAGCTTATTTATTTGCTAAATCAAATTTTAATCAAATATATGTATATATAAATTAGTTTTAAAAAAATTAAAGAAAAATACAATTTAAATACAAAAACAAGCAAAAATGGATTAATTAAAGCAAGCAATAAAATGCTAAATTATCTCCAGTAAAATGTAATGTTCAATAATTCAATTTGTACTCATCAGAGATCAAATGTTAAAATGTTTAATTCGTTCTTAACATTTCACTATACAGCTATAATCCTCAGGTATACTTGTATTTTAACTGCGATCTCTTTCTATATGATATGATATCAAAATTTTTATTAAGACTAATCAATTAAATCTACAAAAAAAAAAAAAAAAATTATCTCTATTGCATGTTAAAATATCGGATTTTGGCTTATCGCGTGAAGGTGACGAATATCATATGACAAGAGCAAGACGAGTACCAATTAAATGGCTCGCACCGGAAACTATTCAACGACTTGTTTACAATTCCAAAACGGACGTTTGGAGTTACGGTGTTATGGTATGGGAAATTTTTGCAAATGCATCAGAACCATATCCAGGAATGACAAATGCAGAAGTTAAAGAAAAGGTATGCTAAGCAGGTAAATTTAAAAAAAAAAAAAAAAAAAACAGATTTTCCATTTGAAACGCTGAATTTTTTTTTTCTTTTTGGAAAACTCTTAAAATCATAGGATATTGTAAAAAAAAAAAACATGAATTTATTATTGCATGCATAATCATATTTTAATATGAATTCATCCATCTAAGTTTCCTCCAAATTATTTGAAATGAAAATAATCTTTCATTGTTAAGATAGCAATATTGATCGATGAATTAGTCGTATGATTTCATTAAAATCGATGAAATTGTTTCATAACATTTTTTGATTAATTCTAAACATTTTATTTTCTTGAAATGCTTTACATATATGAGAGTTGATAAAGGTTATAAATGGATACAAAATGGCATTTTCATCAGAAGCACCATCATGGATTGTGGAAATAGTACATAATGGTTGCTGGCAATTAAATCCAGAAATGAGAGCAAATATGGGACAAGTTTGTTAATAATTTCATATTTGAAATCCTCCACAATTTCCCGATTCAATGTGATAAATTTTAATTTCAATTTATAGATAGCACGACGGATTGAACATAATGCTGGTTTAACAGCTCCAGTTCTTATCAATACACATGCGGTATCAGCTTTTAGATCAGGCGAACCACTTCAACCATCAAGTATTGCTTGTAGTTTATTTCATCTCTAACAGTAATATTCAAATATATATTTGTATTGAGATTTAAAATTTTGAATCGATATTTTTAATGTTAATTACATCTAATGGCAATATTGTTCATCATTCGCATATATTTCGTTTTCGGATTATTTGTTTACACTAAAAACTTCATCATCATTAAAAATTGGCATAATTATGATTGATTAGCGATCGAAAATTTAGCATTAAGAAGAAAAGGAAATGGAGCAATAGAAATGAAAAAATTAAAAGGAATGAAAAAAAAAGTGAAAAAAACGAAGAAAAGAAAGGTAATCAAATAGAAAAAGATGTCACCATCTTTGAGAATATATTACGGTTAACTATTTTGAAATGATCTATGCATAAAAATTCATGTATCATATCTATTACTGTATAATTAATTACAATTGTAACAATTGTACGGCAAGATAAATGAAATTATCGTACTATTTGTAGTACAATAATTTACAACAAATTTCGATTAAACAATATTGCATAGCAGTATTAAATGATATAGTAATGCAATTGGATTAATTGCAAAATTTTTAAATCTTCTTTTGCCATTTTTTTTTTTGATCTCAATTCTGTATCTATCAAACAGTTTAGATATTAAATTTACCGTATCATCGGTGCTACTGTATCTAAAATTTTTTCCAACTTTCATATATGTAAAAAATAAAAATTCTTATTTAATTATCTATGGAGTGCTATCATAATTAGCTTTTTGCTTGCAAGATACTATAATAACTTTCAATTCACATTAACAAATTCGCCTTTGTTACCATTTACAAAAAAAAGACAGTGGAAAAAGAATTGGCAATGTTTTGATAATTATGATAACTATTTGTTCAAAATATATAACATGAATAAATTTTTCATAATTTCGCACAAAAAGAAATTGAAAATTTATTAAATATTATAGGATAGAAAAATGAAGTAGTGAAAATTTTAAGCAAGAAATGATTTAATTCCATTTCACACTCTCATTTATACATTTCTGCCATCTTGCTAACATTTACAGCAATATTTCGTATGACATAGTTAGCCATCAATCTTTTGCTAATTGAGATTTATGTGAAAGAGGATAAGTTAAGCTTCCATAGATCGTTTAAAAATATGGCATTTAAGAATTGAAATTAAAAATATTTTTTGGTTGAAATGTTTGTTCAAATTTATGGTCTTTTCAATTTATTTAATATCATCTCTGCAATTATTGACTATAATATTAGCATTGTAAGTGTAATAGTCTCTTAGAATTTTCATGCTTAAGCGATTGAAAGAAGAACTGAAAATGATAATCAATGAGTTGTTATCACTTATCATTCTATCAAATTGTGATAATGCTGAAATATAAATTTAATTTGATTAATTGCTCAATTGTTATTTTTTTTGATTAATTTTGATTAATTGATAAAATTCCTTTTTAGCATATTTTAATTGCTATTTGCAATTAATTCTTTTTAGTTGGAAATTTTCATTATTTCATTTTTTTTCTTTCTCTGAAGAAAAGAAATGAAGTGCGGATTTTATGCTCTATCAAATTTTATCAATGACAATATAATTGTTTGTAATTTTACGTGTTCTGCTCAAATCAAACTTCTAGCATTCTTCTCTAAATTTCATGTGATAACATTTAACTGCCTACAAGCAAACACATTCTATTCACAAATTAAAAAAAAATAGGCAAGCTTTTAGAAGAAATTAAATTTTTGCATTATTTAAGAAGTGTTATTCAAAAATTTGCAAAATCTTATTTAGAAAACGCTTTCAGCCGGTTAATGCAACGGTTTTTATCCTTCTCAAAAAGTAATTTTTGAATTTTTGAAACCTAAATGAAGTAATTATTATTGCGTTGAATTTATCACAGGTCTTATGAAATATTTTGTTATATGGATAAATGTAGAAGCTGAAAGCAATTTTGCAATTAACATTTCAATCTATCACATATTTCTTTCCTGAATTTATATTTCGAGAAATTACTCTCTCCTCAGACATTACATGATATTCCCGTAGGATTTCGTTAACATGGTAATAGCACTTTTAAAAGTATAAAATAGTGCAGTGATTATCGGTTGGAAATATATTTGAATTGAATTGAAGGCCAACATCTTATAGACATTCCTATGGTTTGAGATCAATTTATGTGATGGATGAATGATGGATAGTTGGAGGATGGATCGATGGATGAATTGTTAAAATTTATTGTAATGAAAGCAACAAATAAACAAAAAAAAAAATGTATGTTTTTCCATTATTTCTTCCCATAGTTCACTATCAGTTTTTTTTTTTTTTTGCCACGGTTTCGCTACTTTGATAGATGTCATCAATAATATTACATTAATGAAATGAAATGAAAAATTCTCCCCGCTTTACTGTAAGTGTCATCTGATCGAGTGTCACCTGAATATTAGTTACCCGCTCGAGAGAGGAGAATGTGATATTGATCATTATTGAAATACATGATTTCATTTTCGTTTCGTTTATAAATACTTTCCGAGAAATGATTTAACTAATTGTGATTGCTTTATTAGATCATTATGTAACGTTTTTATAATTTCATATCATCATCCTGCTTTGCATAAAATAATGATTAAAGTAAGTGAGAAATAAAAATAGCGATTAAAGAAATAAAAAATTGTTAAAAATGTGTCTTCTTTTCAATCTAATAAAAAAAGACTTGCATGTGTGTTTTATTTCGGATTTTTTTTTTTTGTTCCGCTTAGTATTTGCAAATAAAAATCGGTTTATTGATTGATCGTAAATTATAGTGATTATCCGTGGTATCTTCAAAAATTTTTCCTCAGTTAGCACTTGTCGGAATTGTACATTTATCGTACATTTATCTGTAATAACTTTTAATGAGAATCGTTAAACTATTTTGCTAATTAATTACTTCAAAATAATTTACATAAATTTTTAATCGGTTGCTAATATTTTTGTTAAACGTTTTTTTTCCTTTTTTTTTGTTAATTATTAAAAGAGTTTAGTGTTCTCATTATTCTATTTTAAGTTCGTATCAATAAGAGGTGTATATATTTCATTGAAATAAGTCTGATGATAAAAGATTGGAAATTTCTTTAAATCACTTCAAACTTCTCCTCTGCTTTCTTTTAGAAGCTAAACTGAACAAAATTTCGAAATTCCGCCTATTTCGTCAACTCTCTTCACTATGTGATAATTATAATACTTTACACAATTCTTTGGGAAATATTTAGCTAAAAGCACTTATTAACATTTAAACACTTAACAACTTTCATCCATTCCATATCATAACATATATCTTATAATATCAGCCGGTTCTTTTGCACACTTTTTTTTTCTAAAAACAATGGTTGCTATCATTTTTTTCATTTTGAAACTTTAACTAGTCGACGTTTTTTTTTTTGTTTTAAAAATTTCAAGTATTTTTTCCTAAGCTATAGGTAATTCATACAAAACTTTCCACATTGCAGACATTTTTTCAAAGTATACACTGTCTTGTCAATCAGAATTGACGTATGTTTGACGTACGTTTAACGTATGTTTTTGAATTGTCAACAAAGCTTTGATTCTTTGATGACGAAAATGAAGAAGAGCGAAATTGATATGTTAATCAGTTGCGCTTATTGAGATAGAAGCTATTATCAAAGCATATTACATTTTAGCCACGGATAACACGAAGCTTTATCAACGTTTATTCATTTTCTTTCTTATATTTGTCCTCCAACGAACTTTTGTGAAGATTTTATTATCACTTTTTACAAATCTGCAAAATTAATTTGGCTAAGTTAGCTGAAATGTTTAACCTTATAATATATCCTAACATTTCTTTTCACTATTTAAAGATTCGAAATTTAATGGCTGCTAATAGGCCAGTTCTTTATTTGTACAAATGAGAGAACTACTTAGAAATGCTTTGAAGAATTTACATCACTTAGCAGCTTAGAAGCAATTGATCTTAAGAATATTCATGGGAAATCGAAAAAAAAAAATTTCATTTTTTATGCTAATTTGAAGATCTATATGAAATTTTACCCATTTAAAGTCTTATCAATTAAAAAATTTCTCACCACATAATTTATATAATTGTCGCCTACATATGGATTTAAAAGTTATCTTATGCGATTTATCACAGAGTGTTTTTTTCAAGCTTCATTAATAATAATAATTTAAGAACATTATTATGATTGTAAACAAATCGCCAAAAAAAAAATGATTTTTTTAGGAAAGTTATAAATGAATACTTAATTCAAAAATTAAAATTATTGTCGTCTACTTCCTCTTTTATTTCTGAATTAAATTTTTGTTTAGAATTAGGAACTGTTCAAAAAAAAAGAAAACTCTCAAATTCACCAACCTATCCTTTTTTTCGAAATTGCTTTCATTTTTCTTTTGTGTTTTTTGGAAAGGAATATGGATTTTTTAAATTTTATCAGTGTATAACTTCAGAAATCTCCCAATGATTCGTATGTAATATCGAAATGATTAATTAATTTATTAATCATGAGTTGTATTGTATTGTTCAAGACTCTTATCAGGTGTTTCCAGTGTTTGAAGATATCGGGAAATTATCACAGTATATCATACACAGCAATATTTCATCTGTTTAAAACATCATTTTTGTATTAGCAACAATATCAATAGTAATATAATAAAATAGAAGTGAATAAAGATCTCCAGCATATTTCGATATTCTAATTTCTTGTCAAATATCGAATTACCTAAT